TGGACTCTGCGTGGATGTTTCAAGAAATCCTTGATCATTTTATTTCACTCACGGCAACCTACTCTAGCAAACTCTCCAAAATCTGCGGGAGGCTCAGGCCTTTGTCGGTTTTCTAGCTTTCAAGCCCTGCTTCCTGGCACCTGTCAGATATTCAAATGGTTGTTGAAAGACTAATGAATGCACAATGGAGGAAAAGAAGACAGGAAGACCAACTGTGAAAGAGAAAGGAGGTCTGAAGACGATATTTTGAGTGAGGCTTAAAATGGACTTTGAGGGTTGAACGGGAGCTCGCAAATTGATGAGGAGAGAGAGGGTATTTCAAGTTCAAGGAAAAGTATGTGTTAGGAAACAGAGCCCCAGGAAAGCAGCCTGTACTTGGGAAATCACAATTATCATTCAGCTCTCTGGAAAGCCAACAAGAGAAATTGGTATGAATGAGAGTGAAAAGGACATTCGGACCCTGAACAGTTTCAAGCACTTTTTTTAAAATTCATGTGGACTTTATTTCTAGATCACAGATTTCAATCCTTTCTGACTTTAATAGAAGGACTCATGATATAAAAGAGTTATTGTCTGACAGTGAACGAGTCAAAGCCTGGTTTTTCCCAAAGTGAAATTTATATTTTCTATTTTAACATTATTTTAGTCTTAATTTTTGGTAGGCTATTGGAGCAAATATTTTAATCATATTCTAGAACATACACTAAATTGCTATGGTTTTGAAAGACAAAAAATTATTATTAATTATATATTTCATTGCAACAATAATAGAGTAAAAGGATTAAAAACACAGTAAGTGGGGAGACGGCTGGCAGAGGACAGAGGACTTCTAGGGCCATGAAAATACTCTGTATGGTGTTATAATGATAGATGTACGTCACTACCTCTGTGTCCAAACCCGCAAAATGTATAACACCAAGAATGAATCCAAGGGAAACTGTGGACTTTGGGTGACGATGATGTGTCGACACAGGCTCATCCTTGGGGACACACCTCCCCCTCTGGTGAGTGATGATGGTGATGGGATAGGCTGTGTGTGTGCTGGGAGAGGAGGTACCTGGGAAATCCCCATATCTTCCCCTCTATGTTGTTGTACACATCAAACTGCTCCAAAAAACACAGCCTTAGAAAAACGCAGTAATATGATTGAGAAATAATATTTTGCATGTGACTTAAAAACACAGCTAGAAATTAAAAAAAAAAAAAGAACCCAACAGGGTTTATAGTACAAAACCGCCTTGGTGTGGTTAGATGAGAGGTGGGACTTCCAAGGCACCTGCTGGGAGACAAGAGCAGGGCCGGTGAAGTCACCTACAGCCATGGTGGGCCCCACGTACGGCAGGGGTATACAAAGGAGCAGGATTTGGTGACAATCCCACATCGCATCAGCTTGTCTCTGGGGAATGAGGCAGCCAGAAGCCATTTCCCATATGCTGCCCGTTCAGCTCTGACCTCATCGCTTTCTGACTAATCCTCCAGCCAAGACAACTGGGAGCGGATAAAATCCAGAAACAAAATTCGTGAAGCCATCCGAAAGGCCTCCAGATTTAGAGAACAATTTTACTCCTAGGAAAAACCATTTATGGGGTCCTTTCCCACACATCAAACAGAGTGCCTTCTCTGATGTGGATGTGCGCAGGAGTGGCTGGGCACGTGGGAACCCAGATCAAGGGGTTGTGGCTGGAAGGGAGGAGAGGAAGAGCGTCAGCTAAGCCAACATGCTGCATTTCAGATGCTTAAGGGGACGAGTGCTAAAGGTCAGTCAGTGGCGTAAATGTTTGAACCGACAGGGAGCCTTGTCTAAAATGAAATCCCTCCCCGGGCTCGTGGACTTCTTGAGCATAGTGTTTCAAATGCACCCCACCCCCCGGGCCACAGTGTGAGGCGTTTGGGGGTGTGACCTTTCTGATGTCTTAGTCCTGTGAGTGGAAGAGCGGTCCTGGGCGGGGGTGGGGGGGTGTGGGGAGCTGGGATCTGTAAGCGACTGGGATCTCCCCGCCTCCAGGAAGGGCTCGGAGGCCTGGCGGGCCAGCCTTGCCCTTGCCCAGCCCACACCCGCACTAAATCCTTGCCACTTCCTGGGGAAGCCTCACTTGCCCCTTCTCACCTGGTACGTGACCAGCTTCTATTCCCAGTGACTTCTCACAGCTGAAGTTGCTCATAGCTAGTCTCATGCTTATCTGTCATTCGTGGACTATTTCTGGCCAGACCTTCCTGGAAATTCACCAGAAGACCAGGATCTCTCCATAAAAAAAGAAACGATAAACCTAAAGAAGGGCATTCCGACCCAGACTGAAAATGATTTCATAAAATTTAATTCATTAAATAAAACGGTTTCATGACAAATATTTCTACAATGCACTGTTATTATCTAATTTGTCTCTGCCAGAGGATGAGAGAAACACAGTCACTGTGATGACTGTGTGTGGTGCCACGTTGAGGCGCAGTAACAGAAGTCAGACGGGCCTACCAGAAGCACACCGGGGATAGCGACAGGAAATTAGGGTCCTGTTCATTACTCTCTGATTGTAAAGGGAAGTCATCTGTTCTCTTTTGGTAAGAACTGCTATCACACATTAACAGAGCCTAAGTTGTAGTAATATACCCAATTTGCTGTGAAATTCCTTTGTGAGAAGCAACAGTTATAATGAAACTTTAATTCATAGTTCACTCTAGAACCATAATCAAGGACTTTACCCATAAATTCATTTAAAGCAAATGAAAATCCTAGGTGCCAAATATTCAGCAGCACCTGACATGCCCCTCAGTCCTCATAGTCGGTATATATATTTTTCTAATTGTTATAATTGACATACAATTGTCATACGATATTTCATTCCTTTCAGGTGAAAGAAGAGATTGGTGTGTGTGTGTATATGTGGGGTGTGATTGTGTCTTATGTGGTGTCTATGTGTATATAGGTGTTGTGTATACATGAGGTGTGTTTGTATGGAAGTAGACACCATGGGAAATTTATCAGCAAATACAGGCACTCGGAGTTAGCCCAAAGTAATCCGTTCCTAAAAATGTGGCAGCTCATGGATTTTCAGGTAGTGGGAACCCAATCTCATGTTTTCTAAACAGGAAAAGTAAGAACACAAATCAAACAAAACACAAATCAAAACCAGATACCACCTTACACCAGTTAGAATGGCAAAAATCAAAAAGGCAAGAAACAAAAATGTCGGAGAAATTATGGAGAAAGGAGAGTCCTCTTACACTCTTGGTGGGAAGGCAAGTTGGTACAGATACTTTGGAAAACAGTGTGGAGGTTCCTCATAAAGTCAAAAATAGAGCTACCCTATGACCCAGCAATTGCACTCCTGAGCATTTACCCCAAAGATACAGCTGTAGTGAAAAAAAGGGCCATATGCACCCCAATGTTCAAAGCAGCAATGGCCACAGTCACCAAACTGTGAAAGGAGCTGAGATGCCCTTCAACAGATGAATGGATAAAGAAGATGTGGTCCATATATGCTATGGAATATTAGGCAGCCATCAGAAAGGATGAATACCTAACTTTTGCATCAACTTGGATGAGATTAGAAGAGATTATGCTGTGTAAAATAAAACAGAGAAAGTAAATTATCATATGGTTTCACTTATTTGTGGAACATAAGGAATAGCATGGAGGACAACAGGAGAAGGTAAAAATGAAGGGGGAGAAATCAGAGTGGGAGACGAACCACGAGAGACTGTGGACTCCAGGAAACAGAGAGTTTCAGAGGGGAGGGGAGTGGGGGGATGGCTTAGCCCAGTGATGGGTATTAAGGAGGGCACGGATTGCATGGAACACTGGGTGTTATAAGCAAACAATGAATAATGGAACACCACATCAAAAACTAATGATGTACTGTATGGTGACTAACATAACACAATTTAAAAAAAGAACACATTTCTAATTCACATTAATCCACGTTAATACATAGTAAACTATGTATTTTCTAGTGTTTCAAAAATATTATCCTGTGCTCAGGTAGCACAGTGAAGCTTTTCAGGCCTAACAGTAGCTCCTAAGTTACCCTGATTTTCCCATGCATAGAAAAAACAATACACCTGAGCCCGACCACGCTTATGTATTCTGTGTATTTATATCTTCCCTTAGGTTTTATTGCTTCCAACTTTTCTCTTGCAGAAGGAAAGACTACTTGGGCTCAACCCTTTGCTTCATAGCCTGGTACATTTTTCAGAAAGTGTTTTCACTTAATAATCTAGGGAACATAACAAGCAACACCGCCCAGCATGTTTAAATAGCACACACATGAGACGCAATGCTGCTCCCTGGGGCCAAAGCCTCGTCTTCTCCTGGGAACACCTGGTAGCTTGAGCATTTTATGGGCCCACGCCTGCCATTTCCATTCAGAGGCTTACAGCTCCAGTAGTAAAATACAGGGCCAACATTCTGATAAACCCGTGAGAAGTATTCGGAAGGGAACAGTTGTGTTAGTGAAGACACAGCAAAGTCAAGGAAGTTATTTCCTAAGGATTCCTCCTGGTCTTTGTGGGATTTGAAGACAAATCGCAAAGTGGCCTGTGAATGATATTCTCTGTGGAATTATGCTGGGTTTCACAGATGCCTCCATCTGACTATACTATTTTAAAAGAAGACGGGGCATGAGGAGGATTTCCATTTGAAGGGCAAGAGAAAAACAGAAATGCAATGTTTGTTCAAATGAGAAGTGGCTCTTGAATCATATCATTGCAATGTTCAGAGAGGGAAAGAGTCTTCTTTCTAGTTAATTATCCTTTAATGGCTAGTAGATTATTTTGCAACAACTAATATGCAACAACACTATTTAAAACCTCCCAGTAGTATTGATTAATTAGGTCTCTCATTTACAGGCTTTAATCGGGTTATTTTTCAAAGGAGAAACAAGAAGTGAACTTCGTGCAATGGGCTGACCATCAAGAAATTACGTATTATTTTAGGCAGAATGAGAGCTGTCCTCAGGGAAGCCCTCCACCCCGGGGCTAGAGTAGCGCAGAGACCTTGGCCTTACCCTTTGATCTCAAGGCTTCTAATACCTTTGAGTCGGCAGTCACATCACTCACTAGCTTGATTTCAATATTTTGCGAAGTCAGTTGGAGCAACTTTTCAAAAAGACGTTGACCCTAGGAAAAAATATTCAGAGATGAGGAAAGTCAGAAAACCTAAAGTATGCTACTTAGGATAGTTATAAATAAACTTATTAACAATTAAAACTATTCCTTCAAATTTTTTTTAAAAGATTTTATTTATTTATTTGACAGAGATCACAAGCAGGCAGAGAGGCAGGCAGAGAGAGAGAGAGGAAGGGAAGCAGGCTCCCTGCTGAGCAGAGAGCCAGACACGGGGCTTGATCCCAAGACCCTGGGATCACGACCTTAGCCCAACACAGAGGCTTTAACCCACTGAGCCACCCAGGTGCCCCTATTCATTCAAACTTTAAAAGGCAAGCGTTTCAGCAGTTAGCGTTAATGGAAAATTCTTTCAGAAGAGTTCTAGAACTGGAGCAGTAGCATGAACACAGATTACATTATGTTTTCCAAGTGACAATTACTGCAATTCCAAGTTCAATGCTACAGTGCAAATCTACTCTTCCTTTTCCATGAATTCTGACGTTATCTACACGTGAAGAGGCAGCAGAGACTATTATAAAGTTGTGTTTGGGCCCAGAGAGACCTGGATTCCAACCGGTTTTCCAATTTATAAGCTGTGTTTCTTCTCACTAATCTCTAGCTTCTTCCTCAGTAGAACGTAGATAAAAATAACATGTACTTTAAAAGGTTTTTTGTGAGAATTAAAGGAAATAGTAGTAGGTAAGTATCCTTTCAGTGGAAGCTCTGATGGGGAAAGTCCCGGCTACTTACCGGTGATTTGCCTGAATTCACCTTCTGGTTTAAAACCCCTTTTTACAGAATTCAACTAACGCTCTGTCCTAGCCATCTGTCATTACTAGCACAACCCAAAAATGACTGGAATAAAAATACAAAATAAAACATAAAGCTTTGCTTACATAAGATTTTCACAAGCATTACATTTTTATAAGATTTTAATCTCCGGGAGACTGCACTGGGGCAGGTCCTCAGCAATTACACCGTCTCAGGCGAGGGGACGGCAACCTTAGCTCGTTTATTTTCCCTTGTGTGTGTTCACAGACTCCCTCTCCTTTCATAAAAGGAACTGGTCTTCTTTTACTGATTTTGGAGAACTTTGTTATTCAGCCACAAACTCAAATGCCTTCCGGGGTCAGACAGGCAATAAAGTTTGGTCTTAATGGCCCCCAGGTGGCAAAGTCTTATCCTGCTTTGATAAGGATGGACCGTTAATAATGATTCGGTACAAAGGATGGGAGGGAAGGGAGGGTATGGATGTGGCTCAGGATTCCTGCACTTCAGCCTCAGAAAGCAGAGAAGCCAAAGATGCAAGTCCGAGACTTTGGAGGGTAAGGAGAGCAAGCCGGCAGGACAGTCCTAGGGCCACGTAGCAGGGGGGGAATGTTTGGCATAATCCAGCCCTGCTGTAGCCTGGGGCGGGGCCCCAGACAGCTGATGATCTCTCATCCCTGAGTACCAGAGGGCAGAGTGGGAGCTGCACCCCACGGCAGGGACGGGAACCTCCCTTCCTCTAACTAAGCATGGAAATCAAGGGGCCCAAAGTGGAGCTCATGAATTACTCCGCACCCAGAGCCTGGAAGCAGGCTCCCCGCAGAACAGGTGTTCTGGGGAGGGGTGGAAGGAGTGTACCAGGCTGGTGTCCACTATTTATTTTAAAGAGATGGAGTGGGTGGTTGAGCAAGAGAGAAACACACAGACAGGCAGAGGAGGGAAGAAAGAAAACGGGAGCCGCCTTGTAGATTGCAGGGTCTATGTGGATTTCAGGTTTCCTGCAGGAGCAGGAGTGCCCGGCAGCCAGGGGCTCAGATAGAGGCGGAGAGGGACAGCCAGGTGGCGGGGAGCTGTGGTTCTCCTGCGGGGTTATCACCAACACAGCCCTCCTCGTCAGCTCTGGTACCCCACGGACTTACAGACTGTAATCTTGTCACACACCCTTGGAGGCTTGGGGATGTCTGCATGGCCCAGATTTCTGGAGCCCAGCCCCACGGTGAAACTGTCTGTATTCTTCCCTTCACACAGAGAAAAGGCTTATGTGCTTTGTGTTTTGGGAGACCCCACCGGTAACGGGCCACTGTTTTTACACGAATGCATGTTTTTTTCTCCTGCTCTTAGTTAACAATAGATCTTGCACCAGTGAAATGTAAGAGATCTTCTAACCTATCTGTATTTCTGGCTGTGTGCCTTAAATTGATTCCCACTATGTTATTTTTGTGAGATTTAAAATGAAGACCAGAGCTCTCAAACATAGATGAAAATAGAAACTCCCAAGTTCACAGATACTGGCAGACTGTCATTAAATAAAGCTAATTTTTCCTATCAGTACGGGCTGATGACTTACCCCAAGGATTCTTAAAATTGTTAATTAGAGTACTTACTGTAATGAACTTGGGCCTGGGTGGGTGAAATTCTCCCCTGTTTACAGTGTCTTACCTTCCTATCTGCACATTTTTGCTAAGACATTCGGAATGTAGTAACAAAGGTATGAAACACAGAGAGTATGAAACACTGAGAGAGATCTCCTCTGAGGGCTTCACTGCTGAGTTAAATCCTCTCGCTGAGTTTTCATAAAGGAATACAATAGCCCCTTCGGCTTTTAAACATCAGAAACTCTTGAACGACAAGAGTTTGAGCTGTATGGGTCCACTTATATGCAGATTTTTTTTTTTTCCAATATTCAGGGTAGTCCTATAAAAATGTTTTCCCAGCTTTAGGATCTTCTTAATTAACATATTTTCTTAGCTTACTTTAATGTACATATAACATACAAAGTATGTGTTAGTTGGCTCTTTCTGTTATCAGTCAGGCTCTGGTCAACAGGAGGCTATCAGTATCAAGTTTTGGGGAGTCAAAAGTTACATGCAGATTTTTGACTATGCAGTGGGTTATACCCGTTAATCCCTGTGTTTTTCAAGGGTCAGCTAATTTTTTTTTTTTTTAAGAATTTGGGGTGCCTGGGTGGCTCAGTGGGTTAAGCCGCTGCCTTCGGCTCAGGTCATGATCTCAGGGTCCTGGGATCAAGTCCCGCATCGGGCTCTCTGCTTGGCAGGGAGCCTGCTTCCCTCCCTCTCTCTGCCTGCCTCTCTACTTGTGATCTCTCTCTGTCAAATAAATAAATAAAATCTTTAAAAAAAAAAAAAGAATTTATTTATTTATTTGACAGAGAGAAAGAGAAGGCGAAAGAGGGAACACAAGCAGGGCAGAAGCAGTAGACTCCCTGTGGAGCTGGGAGCCCGATGCGGGGCTCTATCCTAGGACCCCAGGATGAGGACCTGAGCCAAAGGCAGACTCTTAATGACTGAGTAACCCAGATGCCCCCAAGGGTCAACTAACTTAAAAATGTGCTCTTTCTGGTGAGAAACATTGGGCAAAATTTCCAAGTTAAATAAATCATCTTGAAGATAGTCAATGGTTGAGGTGTGTTGAGCAATTTAAGCCGATTAAGCCCAAGCAGACTGCCTAGGGCTTGGAGTATGAAGTACGGGGCGGGAGGGTCACGGTGGGGGGGACTAGTTAACCACCTAATACTGCCCCTTCTTCACCTAAAAGGAAGAAGCCGCTAATAATCTGATAAAGTCAAATATAGATGCATGTAAGGGGCCCAATAAGAGAGAAGACACTTGAACACAGTAAGCACCTGACGAGACGGGCTACTGGAGAATATGGACTGGAGCTAAAACACAACGTAGTGTGCAAAGACAGATAAGTCTGGCTGGCACTAACACTCTTATGATTTTAGAATTAAATTAGAAGTATAATTAAAGAACAGCATGGCCACTGTCGAAACCCAAATTACAGCTTGATCTAAAGGAAGAAATATTTCAAAGCACAGAGGGGCACGCACGCGGAAACATAGGGTAATAAGGGAAGAAAAGGGCGATAGGTAAATCAAGGATATACGACACGCGGCTAACAGATGTGTTGGAAGAAAACAACAAGCAGAAAGAATGAGCTTTCAAGTAACAGAAGAGAAATTGTCCCACTTGAGGAAAGGCCTAAATCTACATGTTGAAAAGATAATTGAAGGATGAAGGCAATGCAGTGCAGAAAGACCCATTCAAGCACATTCTATGCAATCGATCAATACCAAGGAAAAAGAGGAATTCGTACAAACCGCTGGCCAAAAACAAACAAAACAAGTTACCTCCCGAGCAAAATGGATCGGATGGGCATGGAGCCAGTCACCTACAGCATTAAGCCAGTACAGGGTGGCCACAGACTCCGATAAAGAATAAACTGGAGGGGCACCTGGGTGGCTCAGTGGGTTAAAGCCTCTGCTTTCGGCTCAGGTCATGATCCCAGGGTCTTGGGATCGAGCCCCGCGTCGGGCTCTTTGCTCAGCAGGGAGCCTGCTTCCTCCTCTCTCTCTCTGCCTGCCTCTCTGCCTACTTGTGATCTCTGTCTGTCAAATAAATAAATAAAATCTTAAAAAAAAAAAAAAGAATAAACTGGAACAGGGCGCCTGGGTGGCTCAGTGGGTTAAAGCCTCTGCCTTCGGCTCAGGTCCTGATGTCAGGGTCCTGGGATCGAGCCCCGCACTGGGCTCTCTGCTCAGCGGGGAGACTGCTTCCTCCTCTCTCTCTCTGCCTGCCTTTCTGCCTACTTGTGATCTCTGTCAAATAAATAAATAAAATCTTTAAAAAAAACAAAAACAAAAACAAAAGAATAAACTGGAACAAGGGAATGTTTTACCCAAAGATTTTACCTGCCAGGGTCAAAAAAAAAAAAAAAAAAGAAAGAAATATCTGCAGATATATACAGACTTAGAGACTGTATTACCTACATGACCCATATGAGGAACATATTCAAGGAAAGTCTCTAATCAGACTGTAAATAATACTACCCACCACTGAGGAGGACGAAAGGGAGCAGAACACATGATGAGCAGTAGAAGATGGTATGTGTTTGACATAGCTGCTACAGACGGATTCTTGAAATAGGACAGACACATTACAAGGGAAGTTCTACTGTTGTACTAAGAACCTATTACGTGATTCTCAGTGGGAAGAACTATTACT